TGTGTGTGTGTGTGTGTGTGTGTGTGTGTGTGTGTGTGTGTGTGTGTTCGAGTGCAAGGAAGGTCGCCCAAGGACGTAGGAGTTTAGCAGTGACCCAGAGCCATGGCCTTTGCCCCTTCTCCACCCCTGCCCCTAGCTCAGGAAGAAAGGCAATTACATTAGAAGTGTTAGAGGTAACGGTGGTGCTGGTGGGGATCTCGGCCCCCGAGTCAGGGTTGGTGGGCTGTTCGGGGTTCTCCACGCCCTCGCCATAGCCGAAGTCTTCATATGGGGAGGGCGTGTAGTAGTCATCAGTGGGCACATAGTCGTAGTCCCCGATTCCGGGGTCATCCTCCTTGCCGGCCGTGTCGCTGGTCTCAGGTACAGTGGGAGCCTCTGGTGGGGGCTGGGTCTGCTCCTGAGGGCAGAGGGTAGAAAGAGGCAGCCAGTGCATGAGCACCAGGTACCAAGAGAGCCATGAATTGATGGAGGACCACCCAGTGACACACCAGGAGAGGTCCAACCACAGCTTAAATTTCCATCTGTGTGTGTGGGGGGGGGTCTCTCAGCCTGTAGCCCAGACTGGCCTACAATTCACGATTACCTTATTTCAGCTGTCTAGTGCTAGAATTGTAGGTATGTACTATAATGTTGATAGCCTCTGGCTCTTAACCCTCCCCTACTCTGTGGCCTGAGGGGCCCAGGAACCTCCCCAGCCCATCCCCAGTCCAGATCAGACCTCAGGAACCTCTGTGGTTTCTCTGGCAGCTTCCACTGGCTTCTGTGTGGAGGCAGGCTCCTTCCCTGGGTCTTCTGGGTCTTCATAATATGGGTACTCATAATAATAGGTCTCACCTTCTCCTTCTGGGTACTGAAGTCAATGGTGCCCATGAGAAGAAGGAAATGGATGCATTACCAGAGCAGCCTGTCAACCTCCTTGCCCCAGCTTGGGTAGAAAAGCAGATGCCACAAGGCACTGCCCAGGATCCCCAGCCAGGGCTTTCCCTCAGCCTCTCCCTGAGAAGCTCAACAAACCTCAGAAGAATAACGTGGGGACAGACAACCCCACACGCTCCTGAGAGAGGTCAGCAAAGCTGAGCCCTAAAAGTGGTTACATCTGACCTATAGACATCAGAGCCAGGCTATCAAATGTGATCTTCCGCCCAAAACAGGGGTACCCAGAGGGAGGGGCTTGTAGTTACAAACAGGTACTCTGTCCTCAAATACAAACCAGGGATGGTGGGGCTGTATTGGCCTTGGAGCTCCACCCAATACAGTCTCAGGATTTGTGGGCATGGCCCGGGTCAGGGAACCCTAAGTTCCCATGAAAGCTCCTTCTCTGACCTCTGACCAGCAGTGAAAGCGAGAGATTGAGATACAAAGATGCTCAGAGAAGCAGGAGACAGCTCAGCCATAGGCAGGAGAAATACCAGAAAGAACTGCATATGAAATTGTTAAGGTGTTGCTGGAGGAGGGCTTGGGAAGTGAGGAGAGTGACCCGGCAGAGTGGGAAATGGGGAGAAGGACAAAGGGGACAGAAACAGCTGCCCTTCAGCGTCTCCACTACTCTGGGGCAATACAAACAGCTGAGTATACATCATCCATTGTAAAACTTCAGGTGCCCACAAGCAAACGACTGAGCTCTAAAGAGCAACTGAGGCCGTGGACTGAAGGTGATGGGCACCGTCTACATTCACTAGGGATGTATGTGGAAGTTTAAAGGGCATGGCTGCTGATGACACTCCCTCGAGAGACCTCATCATGGGGCAGGGAGTGGGGTGGGTGGGGTAGGTCCTCCGTGGTAAAGTGGATCAGACATCACACACTGCTTTCCCTAGTGTTTAAAACTCTGTCCTGTGGCTTTCAGGGTCCTTTACAGTCCCAATCCTGTTGACTCTAAACCACCCTGCGATTCTGCCTGTGCTCCCACCATGCACCCAGCCAGAGATGACTCACATATTCATCTGGGTTAGGGTCCTGTGACTGAGGCGTGTCAGGGACGGCGGTGTCACAGTCGGGGCTGTAGTGCTCACAGTAATCATAGGCAGCCCGGTGGTCGGAGACGAAGAGCAACTGTTGGATGTCACCCTGAAAAGGGACAAAAGCTCATGAACAAGCAGCACAGGTATTCACTGGGAGGAGGCCCAGCTTGATGACGTGGGCAAGAGGAAAAACCTTCAGAGGAGATATCCTCGCAGGGCAGCAGTGGCGCACGCCTTTAATCCCAGCACTCAGGAGGCAGAGGCAGGCAGAGCTCTGTGAGTTTAAGGCTAGCCTGGTCTACAGAACGAGCCCAGGACAGCCGGGGATACACAGAGAAACCAGAAACCCTGTCTCAAAAACTAAAACAAGGAGGAGATAACCTCGGGGACAAACGTCTTCCCAGCAGATGCCCCTCTGAAGAGCTACTTAAGCTAGGCTGGCCCACCTGGGGATTAATCTATCTACCCAACCGTCTATTTACCCATCCACCTACGCACTTACCCCTTTCCACTGGTCTGTTATCTAACCATCCATCTATTCACCTCCCCACCCATCCACTCGCTTACCTTTTCTTCTATCCACTCACGCATCCAGTCCCTCACCTATCCATTTATCTACCCTTCTAGTCATCCATCTGTCTACCCATCCATGTATTCACCTATGTATCAATTCATCATCCATCTATCCACTCACCACCCACCAACCTACTCATCTACCCTTCCATTAATAATCCCTCTACTCGTTCGCCCACCACTCATCTGTTTATCCACCTTTCCATTCAGCCAGCCAGCCAGCCTGCAACCATCCACTAACCCATCCATCTTCCTAGCCACCCCTTCATCTGACAATTCACTGAACCACCCTTCCATCCATCCATCCAGCCAGCCAGCCCACAATGTATCCATCCATCTACCAAATACCTGTTGCACACTTGCCAGCTTGGTGCTCACAGCTACTGCAGTCACAAAGCACAAAAGCATCTGCCCCAGATTCAGGAGGGCATATCCCTGTCTCCATCAGCCTCCAGTACTGAGGGGTATTTCTTTAAGATGCAATGCACACTTTTTCACCGAGTTAAACACAGAATTGATATGACAGCAGTTCCAGTCCCGGAAACTAGAACAAACACTTAAACAAATTTCCCCAAATCAGTTCAGCCCTAAAAGTGAAAAGAAGGATTCAGGCCAACACACACACACATAAGTATGTATGTATGTATGTATGTATGTACACATATGTATAGTGTGTGTGTGTGTGTGTGTGTGTGTGTGTGTGTGGCAAGGTCAGTCAAGGTGTCCTACAATGTTTCAGGGACTTCCACCCACTGGGCTCAAGGCTGGAGAAGGCATCAGAACATTATAGTACCTTGAAGGCCACAAAAATACGTGTGTGTGTGTATGTGTGTGTGTGTGTATGTGTGTGTGTGTGTGTGTGTGTGTGTGTGTGTGTGTGTGTGTGTGTACTCTCATAGCAGTATTGTCAATAGCCCCAGAGTGGTAGCACCATGTGTCCATCAAAGGTGGCATTAAGTAGAATGCAATGATGAATGTCACAGGCACGAGTCATAACCCAGAAGACCCCGCAAGGCTGATGCTGGTGAGGAGACACCTGCCCACCAAGCAGCTGAGCTCTCAGAATCATGTTCTCCACTTCCTTCTTCTCCAGACGTGCAGACAGTGAAGAAGGGAAGAGCACATGAGCACACTGTGCAGACTCTTCCTGGCAACAGCAAGAGCCAGCTTTGAGACAGGCGCTGGGTCCTCCCAGCCAGTCACACTGGTGACAGTGACCAGGAGTGAGAGCGTTCCCACTCGCCGAGCTCAGGGTGGAGAAGCTGCCCATGGCCTCCCACTGTGGCCATCCCAGTATGTCTATCAACCCCCATTCAGCGGCCACAGAAAGTAAAGCTCAGCGTCTGACATCCTAGTAGTTTGAAGGCCACATTGGAAATAGCACAGCAAACAAAGGTGACCCAGGCTGTGCCAGGTGTGCAGTTCTCTGTGCTTGGAGACCATCCAGCCACGCGTACTATACTGAAATATGTTTACTACACTATACTGGAATACCATATATAATATGTTCTGGTTAAGGACAGGGCTTGCTCTGTGAAACTTTGCAGTGATGAACTGCAGGGACAGGGCCTGGGTGCCATCTGGAAGATGGCACAGTCTCGTGGGTTTATTTTGGGCTTTCTTTCCATCCCAGGCAGAAGTGCTACCTCCCTGGTTTCCAAGGTCCCTCATGGGCTGTATGCTCAATGGCTTCTTTGCCCTTCCAGCTGGGTTCTGCAGTCCTAGTGGATCTGCAGTGCTGGGTCCCTGTGGCCATGACAAGTCACCCAAGGTGTGAAAGGAGGGGGGTCCCAGTTCATTTCAATCATTGCTCTCTTCCCTGAAGACCCTGATGAGGGGATTGTGGGGGTCTAACCAAAGCAGAGCAGGGTGCAGCGTCCATCTCTACCACAGTGCGGACCAGGAGGGGAGACAGGGGAGGGCGCAGCAAACCCAGCTTTCAGTGGCACAGCGGCAGAGTACTCTGCCCATAAACAGTCAGGTCTAGCTGGCTAAAAACCTAGCCAGCTCTGCTATTCTCTAGCTGTGTGGCCTCTCGGAGATTTGCTTTCTCTCTGTGAAAACTAAACACAACATAAACAATATCCACTTCTTATGATGCTGGGGAGGCTGTGGTCCTCCAGGCGAACTGGCGTAACCGCAGTACTCAATAACAAATCTTGGGATCATTGAAAGGTGAACGTGAGAGAAAGCCCTAAAGGGACAGTAGGATAACAGTAAGATATGGAATTGCAGGGGGCAGAGTCCAGTAGAGGACTCAGGCAGGATGAAGAACCCAAGAACAGGCACGGGGTGGCAGCGATGATACACAGCTATCAGACACTTATGAAGGATCAAACCACAGGGGTCAGGAGCAAAGCCACAGGGACTCGAAGGGGCTCGGAGGGACTCAACATTAAATAGTGAGCATACAAGAAGAGAAGGAAATATTAAACACATTTCATGCGTTTAATAATGTAATGTACAATTGAGTGACATACCTGACTCTTTCTCACTGATCTCCTCGCCTACCCATCCATATATATATATATATATATATATGTATATATATATATATATATATATATATATATATATATATGTCACCCATCCACCCATCCATGCAATTCATCTGTTCATCCACTCATCCATCCAACCATGAATGCCCTCCATCCATTGATGCCTTTCATTCCTATGTCCATACATCCTTCCATCCATTTATTAACCCATCATCCTTGCATATCACTTATCTATCCACCCATCCCTGCCATCCATCTACCTCTCCATCCATTCATATATCCATCCATGCATCCATCCATTAACCTGTCCATTCAACAGCTATTGTGCATCTCCTAAGTTGTGGCCGCTGGGTCACACACTGCAGAAGCAGCTCTGACACAGAACAAACGCACGAAGGTGTCCACCTTCTGTCAGCACCACAAAGCTGCCTTGTGCTTTCTTGATAATAGCACATCCTCCCAAGACCATGTGACCACTGAGCTTCTCTTGGTGCTCCATTTCCAGCCAAATCTCAGGACTCTTTTCTAGTCCTGTACCCACAGTCCTGCTGTTCTCTGGGGGTGGAAATGACCTGCTTGCACAGCCCAGGAAGCCCTTCATCCCTGCTTTTCATTAGGTAGAGTGTAAACCTTTCTCTGGGCTGGACTCCAAGGTGACCTGGAGGTTGGAGGGACAGGAAGTCTGCATGCTGCTCATCTGCTGGGCCATGGCAGGAGTGGGTGTGTGTGTCACCTGAAGTCACTGAGTGTGGGCCCATGTTGGCTTCCTAGGTTCTGAGAAGGAGGGTGTGGGTGTCTTGTGATCTAGGACAGGCTCCTTCACCATACCCAAGCTTCTGTCTCTGACAGGAAACTGGCCTAGAATTAGGCTGATGTGTAGGAGTGCTCACTGACAGAACCAAAAAACAGAATACATCAAAGGCCAGCTTCCCTGAGCCCTGTGGCTTAGTTCCACATGCCTGGTCCCAATTGGGGTTTGAAAACCCCAAGTAATGAGCAAAGAATCCAGAGTACCCTCAAGCAGGCCTGAGCCTGTCTGGGCTGCTGTTGTAACATAGCCTCTGGTGTGGCCTACACATGGTCCTTTCCTCCCAGCACGCTGGATCCCAACCCCTGATGTCTATGGAAAAGGAGAGGCAGACATCTCTTCCTGAGGCTGGACCAGTGACTGTCACTCCCCACTGGACAAATGAGAAGCTGTATTCAGGAGAGGCCACCAGCCCTGATCTCAGGGTTATTCTAGCTTCCTTTCCGTGTCTGATAAAGCACTCTGACAAAAACCAATTAAGGAGGCATGGATTTATTTGTCTTACACTTCCAGGTCATAGTCCATGATTGAGTGAGTTCAGGACAGGAACGAGAAGGCAGAACTATTTGCATGAAGCATTACCTCTAAGAGAGGACTCACTCACAGCTATGGGCATAGAGCAGCAACCATGGAGGGTACTGCTGGCTGGCTCACCCACGGGCACATGCTCAGCTACACAGTTGTTTGCTTGCTTACTTGTTTTTGTTTTTTGAGACAAGCTTTCTCTATGTAGCCTTGGCTGTCCCGGAATTCATGAGGCAGACAATGTCGGCTTTAAACCCAGAGATCTGCCTGCTTCTGCCTTCCAAGTGTTGGGAAAACAGACAGCACTACCACCGCCCAGTTCAGCCAGCTCTCTTGTACAGCCCAGGACAGCATACCTAGAGAATGGTGCAATCCAACCTTCGCTAGACTCTGTTATATCAATTAACAACCAAGACTATGCCTCACAGACATGCCCATAGGCCGATTGGATCTTCTCAGTCTCTCAGTTGAGACTTTAGGCTGTATCAAGATGACAACTAAAACTAACATTGGCCTACAGAGGTTGCCTATGAGCCCATGACCACCAGCTGACCCACCACACCTGTTCCCACTTCAGCGGGCAAACTCCTATCCAGACTGCAGACAGAAAAGCCTTCTTCCTGCCAGCAAGGAGGGCCCAAAAGGAGCAGTACCCCACCACTCCACATCACCGCAGCACTGCTATGCCCTGGAGCCCAGGCC